ATATATAATATATATATATCTCATATCTATCATATATATATAAACTGTAAACAAGAGGTAACAGCGGCTTCTAGAAACTGGTTTTCTTCAAGGTTTCCTGTGGTAGGCACCTGAAATACTGTAGAAAAGTGTCTTGTGTGGTGTTCTCAGCGCCCTAGTTGGGTTCTGTTTTGCATGACCAGGAATGGTGCTAGCGAGACTGCTCAGGGGCTGGGAGGGTATCCTGCCTCCCGAGTGTCTCTATATTCTGTCCCCACTTGTGCTCCTATCTGATCAGGCTAGAGACAACCAAAAAGATATACGGTTAAAAACAAAAACAAAAAAACAAAAAATATAAATTTTTATAGAATTTCCTTTTCTCCTCTCCCCCTTTCCTCGCCAAGATATTTACTATTTTCTTGTTACTGATTTTTGCTGCAATAACTCTCTCGTTTCAGTCATAGCAAGAAACAAAAACCCAAACAAAAAAACCCCTCTAAAAAGAGTAGAAAACAAAAGGTTTGACCCTCCTGAAAAAGGAGGGGAAGAAGGGGAGGGGCCTGTTTTTGCTTTTTAAATAGGACTGAAGGTTAACATTGAAAAATCAGGAGATGATGTCCAACCCTTTCACAAGGCAAGGCCCTCCGGTATTTCCGCCTCTGTGGTTTTTGTTTTAAATTCCTTTTTCTCTTCTGGGTGCTGATACTTCTCTCCATCCTCACGTTCTTGGTGTTTTATTGTGTTTTGTTTTTTGTTTGTTTGTTTAACTCTGTGTCACTACCTCAGTCTGCCCCCATGTCCCTTACACACAAGCAAAATATTCCTTCAGCGGAGCGAAGAGGTGGCGGATGACTGGCACACTCCATGACCGGCCCAGCAGTCTCTGCCTTGCCAAGCGGCTCATGTTGGAGACGTCTGTGTAGTGGACAGGGAAGCCAAACACCCTGGGGGAGGAAGGCAGAAAACGGCAGAATAAGTTTGGGTGCAGACAGAGGCCAAGCAGCTCCAAGTCATCTGACCATCCACCAAGAGCTGATGGCACAAGCTACAAGCCAGTCAGTCCCATGCTCTTGACGCAGGTTGTCTCTGTCCTCTCTGGCTAATTCAACATCGGACAGACCACCAGCCACATGCCAGAACTCTGGGTTATAAAGACAGGTAATGTAAGCCCTACCTTGAGTTCAAATTCACCAGAAATAAAGCCCCCTCAGAGAGCTCTCCAAAGGGAGAGAGACACTAGTCAGACTTCACAAGTTCCAGGATATCCTTTTCTCAGGGTGTTTGTGTGAATGGCCTCTTTGTCTGGTTATCCTAGGAGCTCGCCCAGCATTGTTGAGTCCAGTTTGGATGTGGTCCACTTGGACCTACACCAGTTTACAAAACATTTACAAAATACTGATGGCATAAGTTAAGGAAGGAAGCCATGGAATGTGTTCCTGAGGTTCCAACAGGTCTTTAGGAGCCTAGGTGTGTGATTTCTAAACCCCTGATTAAGAACCAACCATAAAATGTGTCAATCCTCCCCAGGAGCCTGTAATGCTGGGAAAAGTTTGGCAAAACTCACAAGAAATTTGAGGAGAATGAGCTGTGGCAGGCCAAAGAACTTTCCCTCAAATGAAGCCCAGGTTAGAATACAAGCCCCCCAGAACGGTACCTTTCCATTTCAGTGCACCATAGGATGTCCTCCTTCTCATTCATGAAGACAGGGAAATGCTGGTCTTTGCCTTGCTTTATGGAGTTCGACCTGGTGGTAATGGTCCTCACTTTACTGAACTAGAAGATAAAGAGGAGAAGAGAAATGAGCAGATATCTGCCTGTCCATACTGGCTATCCAGTCTATCCAGGTTGACTAGGTGTAAGCTTCCTTCCGAGTCCTTGTTTCCCTTCTCACCCTGAGGTGACCTGGACATTCTTGGTCTAATCAAGCTAGCCAGATTAGAGAAGCAGCAGCTGTGACCACCTCACTCCTCTAAGGCTCCCAAAGGACTGGTTCTCTCAGTGGTGTGGTAACTTTACAAGGCAAAGAGTGTCAAAGACTTGGCACCGCGAGGCTCTGCAGTCCTGAATGCTGCAGCTGAATGCTCGTGCACTCACATGAGAGTTCTCCCAAGAGAAACTACATTAGAGGAGGCTACTCTGTGTGCTGCAAAAAAACGAGCCATGATGACGAGCATGGTGGTGCATACCTTTAATCCCAGCACTTGGGAGGTAGAGGCAGGTGGACCTCTGTGAGATCAAGGCCAGCCTGGTCTACATAGCAAGTTCCAGGCCAGCTGGGACTACCGGGAAACCCTGTCTCAAAAAACAAAACAAACAAAAAAACCCACAAAAAAAACCCAGCTATGGTAAATCCCCAACTCCAGAAGGTGAGTGCTGAACCCCAGCAAATAAGACTGAAGCCTAAAGCCTTGGCTCATTCCCTGGCTGACTGGCCATGTGACCCTCCCTACACCATCCCCAAAGGACAGACAATACAGAACTCTACCATTTGCCACCTCATCCTGACCTCTACCTCCTACTCCTGCCACCCTCTCCTGGACTCTAGGGCTGACCTTGGCTATTCTGCCATGTTCCAGACACTCCTGCAGCTCCAGCTTATCATTCACAGTGGATGCCAATGGCCTAGGAAGCAAGAGAGACTGTGACAGCCACCTGATGACACATAAGGATAGGTTAAAAGCTGCCTACCCCAAGCATACACATACATCCTCAAACTCCCTTAAAACGTACCAAGACAGACATAAATCAACCAAGCTTTAATCCTTACAGGCAAATTGAAAAAGGGCTTCAAAATGCCCAACAGGGCTCTAATGCTTACCCAGGAGGGAAAAAGCACATTTAAAAATCAGCTGTGTTGAGTTTTGATTGCCCTGCCACAAAGTAACCTTTATAGATGACAGAATACCCTGTATCTTGATTTATAGCGATTTCATAAGTGTGTACACTAGATGAAAAGTGATTGGAACATAAATCTTAAAGGTACACTTTAATACTAAGTTTTGCCAGGAGATGTGGCACATGCCTATAATCCCAGCCCAAAGGAGGTAGAGGCAGAAGGATTAGAAATTTGAGGCAAGCATAGTGAGTTCAAAGCCAGCCTAAACTATGTGAGTTTTCTCCAAAGATTAAAATTTTGAGGCAATGTGTTGCTTCTGAAGGGGCAGCCCAGGTAACTGAAGATCATGTTTGGTGCTGACCTCTCCTAAGGTTAAGAAGTTTGCTAGGTGCTATAACACAGGCCTGTAATCCTAACACTTAGGAGGCAGAGTTTGAGGCCAGAACAGACTACATAGTGAGTGAGATCCTGTCTCAAAACACCAGAGTTGAGGATACAGTTCAGTGGTACAGCACTTGCTAACATGTGCAAAAGGTTCAAGTCCCAGTATTCATTCCCCAAAAATAGAATGTTAAAAAATAAAAAAAGAATGGCAGAGCACACAGGCTTTCATCAGAGACTAGCCTAGGTGGGTCCCTCAGTGTCTCTCTCCCTCCCTTAGGCTGTCTACAGCCTACAGACACCCTCCTCTACCCTCTTCTACCCCCTACCCTCCATCAGGAGCTCTCACCGACCTGTTCATACCGGGAAGGTTGCCCCAGAAGTAGCGGGCCCTGTGTGCAGCTGACACTTCTTTGGCATCAATCATCACAGGGTTGGACTGCAAAACATGAGATGGTTTAAAGATGAGCAAAGGAGGAATATTAATTAAATACTGCTGGGTAACTGGGCTGGCCAAGAGCCTTAAAGCCTAAAGCCTTTAAGACTCTTCTTAGGAAGCCACACACTGGGATGGCCTGAAGGCCCAACAAACCTAACCACATTCCACATGTGCTTGCTGGAACATTCTAGACCAACACAGTCCAACTGAACTTGCAATGATGAGAACTGTTGCCTAGCTACACTGCTCATTTCAGCAGCCACAGTGTACTATGGGTGGTTCCACGTGCTTGAAAGGCTAATTCCTGCTAAAATCACCACATGAGGCTGATGGCTACTACAACAGACCACTCAGGGCTTAGCAAGTTCCAACAAGCATGTGTGTTCACTGTGCCCTCATACTTCAAGTCAGATCACCAATTTGAGGTGTTACTAAGCCTGAGACATGGGAGCATGGGCCAACAGCCAATCCCAAGAATGCCTTTGGTAGCACTAGTCCTCTATGGATGGCTTATACTTGGCTCATTGATGAACTAGGATTCATATCCTAAGAAATAAAACCAAAAAAGGCCATGATTTCATCTCAGGTGTTATAAAGCACCCATTAGGGTGCCAGGGAGTTAGGAAAAACCATTCTGGTCAGAGAAAATGGAATCTGATATCTCAAAAGCCATATCCACACTCCCCCCTCATGTAATAGTACAGAATCCAGAGTCCCAGAAACTGCGCCCCCCCGCATTGAGAGACAGGTCCTTTAGCCTGAAACCTACTCCCATCACACCTCTTCAAGTGAGCACTCATCTTTCTGGGTGGGCTTCCAGCACTGCCTTCCTCTCTAAGTGGGAAGCCCAGAGCTTCCCAAACAGGCCTCTTGGAAAGGGGGAAGTTGCCTCACCAGTCCCTAGTCCCCAGCTCCGTTCCCCAGCTCTGCAATGCAGGCGAGTCAGGATGAAACAACAGTCCAAGACAGAAGCCATCAGTGAGCTGGTCAAACCAAGGTGGCCGGCTATACCTCGAGAAATCGTGAGATGTCCCTCTTGTCACTAACGCCCATGGCCACCACGTTCTCAAAGAGCCAGAAGAAGGGGCGATCATCTCCCTCCTTGGGCCGCGCATCATGCAGGAGGCGGTAGAACTCAAAGAAGAGCCGTCCAGTTCCCTCTGAGAGGTTGGAAGAGAAAGTCATCAGCTGGAGGTGTCTGTGTCAGACACTGGTGTGACTCAGGCATGGGGAGGGTGAGGGAAGGTGGTCATGAGGAGGAGCAATCCTGGGCAGAAATGTCTAAGGAGCAAACCTAAGTGTAGAAGCACTGACCCTGGCAGAGGGTGAGGCAGGCACTTACCGTAAAGTCCCTTGCGGGCAGGGTTCACAATAGAGAGGTCATTGCAGGGACTGCCCCCAATCACCAGATCAAATGGGCCCCACTCCTGGATCTAGGAGGATAAAGATAACATGATGGGCCTACTGTCCAGGGACAGAGGCAGAAAAAGAAAAACCATCTGTGATTAACAGTCACTGAGGCTCTCTAGGCTCAGATTCTCAATGAGCAAGCAGACCAAACTGGACCAAACTGGACCACTATACAGAACAGCAGTGAGTCCAGGGAGTCCCAAGCAAAAAAAAAAAAACCACAAATCAAATAAACAGTACCACCAAACAGCCTTCCCTGGGCAGGAAGGTATTCCTGGCACCATGTGAATGACTCTCCCTGGAATTGCTGAGATAAACCTATAAAACTGGAAGGACACAGGACCTAAGACAAGAATGCCAGCATAAAATAGAGGCTGGTAAAAGTACGTGGCCAAAGTACCTGGAGGACAGAAACCTCTCTCCAATCTAAATCATACTACCATAAAAAGCCTGCGAGCAGCTGGAGTCCCAAACAGCAGGATCTTCCATCCACTCTCCGCATCCCACTTTATACAGCACTGGCGATTGAACCAGGACTTCAGACATGCTAGGCTCTACAGTTCCACCCTCAGTTCCCCAATTCCCATTTCTAATCTGCTCACTGCCCTCAGGAATCAAAGAAGAAAACTGGAAGCTAAGGAGAAGAGAGGCTGGAGGAAAGTGAAAGAGAAAACAGATGGACAAAATGAAGGGGGAGGACCAGGCATCTCCAGAAGCTGAGGGTGCAGGGGAAAAGCCTAACATGCTCTGCAGCATGAACATACATGCTTCTGTGTGACGCTGCGGACGTCCCCGACGTACATGATCTTCCCCTGGTGCCGCACCATTCCCACCGTGATGGAGTCCTCACACACCTCTGAGGCAATGTAGCGGTCCACTTGGATGCCCAGGTCCTTTAGCACCAGGAGCCCTGTGCCAGCCAGCAAAGAGCACTGTCACCCAGACACCAATTTTTTTTTTTTTTTTTTGTCTTTTTGAGACAGGGTCTCCCTGTAGTCACATTTGGCCTGGATTCACTATGGAGACTAGGCTGGTCTTGAACTCAGAGATCTGCCTGCCTTTGCCCCCTGAATGCTGGGATTAAAGGTGTGTACCACCACGCCCAGCTCTGATACCTGCTTTTAAGCAGGTAAGCCAACCTGCCAACTGCACACAAGGTTAACTATAGGCCAAGTCTTACCTTGCCCATGAAGCTACCTAAAAAGTCCTTTCTCAACCAAAGTGCATCAGCATGGACAAGGGCAGCAACCTTGTGTTTCAGTTTGGCCTAGATGCAAGGCAGCCAAAACCAGGGAAGAGTAAAACAGTAATCAGTTTTATGTCCAGAGAGAACCACTTTTTTGGTGGCTTTTTCTTTAAAAAACAAACCAGTTTCCACACCTACATTTTTGTTGCTTTAAATTTTAATTAATTTATTTAATTTTATGTGTATGGGTGTTTTGCCTGCATGCATGTAAGTGTATCATGTGTGTGTAATGCCTGTGGCGGCCAAAGAGGCATTGGATCCCCTGGAACTGGAGTTATGGAGTTCTGTGGGTATTGGGAAACAAACAAGGGTCCTCCTGCAAGAACAGTCAGTACTCTTAACCACTGAGGCATCTCTCTAGCTGCCTCCCCCCCACCTTTTTTTTTGTCTTTTTGAAGCAGGGTCTCCCTGTAGCTCCAGCTGTCCTAGAACTCACTATGTAGACCAGGTGGCCTTGAACTCAGAGATCTGCCTGCCTGTGCCTCCCAAGTGCTGGGGCTACAGGCATGCGCTACCACACCCGGCTCTCTCCCCCC